ACGGATTACGATACCGCTGTAAACGAATTGACAACTGCTCAATATGCGGAGATTGAGGAACAGCCAACCATGGACCATGTTTCGATTGTGTATTCTTCTTTCCCCCCTCCCTTCCCCCCCCCCAACTCTATTCCTCTTTCCCCCCCCCCCCCCGGTCGACATTTGGCGATTTCTTGATTAACTGAAACACCCTTCACCCGGAGGGGCTGCGACCGCTGTGACCCCTTTCACCCTGGAGGGGTCATTCTCACCTTATCGCACCTGTGATGGAGAGGATGGCCCACCAGGTTCGCCTGGTAGACGTGGAAACGATGGAATCACTATAAGTCATGGGGGTGGAGCTGGCGGATGCATAGCATGCCCGGCAGGACCTCCCGGACCTGCGGGACCTGATGGACACGCGGGTTTGCCTGGACCCATTGGAATGCCTGGAAAAAGCGGAGCGGGAGGAGGTATGGGCCCGCCAGGACCGCCCGGACCTGCCGGAGATCCCGGACCTGCTGGAGAAGCTGGAAATGCGGGAGCACCAGGTATGCCAGGTAGCCCAGGACAGCGCAGCATCGGCACACCAGGACCAGCTGGAATGCAGGGTCCAATGGGACCGCCTGGTCCACCTGGCTCAGAAGGACTTTACGGTGTAGAACCATCGCCTGGTCCGCCAGGCCCTGTAGGGCCCCCAGGAAGGGCCGGGCCACCGGGACCAGATGGAATAAGGGGACCTCCTGGATCTTCTGGTATGCCAGGCGGTGACGGTCACTACTGCCCCTGTCCACCACGCACCATTAGACAAAGAAACACTAGCAAATATCATAAAAAAGACGATGCCCTAGCACATTCAAAAAGGAGGCTGCTGTTTCTATTTGCTCAACCCAAAACAATCGCAGTACTCGCAAATAAAAGCAGGCCAGTAGATCGCTTAAAAAAGAAGGTCACTAAATAGTTCAAAAATTAGTCGATGACTGTTTCAGTCTGATGTCTATATCTATACTCAGCATAAAGCCGTTTTCGATATAAAGCTTTCTTGCATTGATGAAAATATTTTGTTTCTGGTGATCTTTTAGATTGCCTCTCATAGATTTTTCATTTTACTTTTTACAGCGATAATTCATGAACTTCGTATTTCTCGCTGTGCTGTTCCCGCATAGATTGTATACTACTAGCCTTTTGAAGTACACCTGCGAACCTCCAGCGCTCTACAAGCTTCCTTTCCCGAGGAAGTCTTACTTTGACATAGAAGATCCTTTACAAAACTTATATTGATAATTCTCGGAAAGAGGCGCTTCTCGAAGGCTAAAAGTTTGTGTTGTGTTTCTAAGGCTTTTAGTATACAACCTTATGTGAGATGGAAGCCTGAAATTTTGAATTTTCTCGGTTTCTAGACTAGTAAGACGTACGGCTACTACATATATGAATGCATAATGTTAAATTCGTATGCATGAGCAAGTGGGAGATTCGGGGGTTTCTCTAGACGAAGTTACAAATGGTTTTCATTTTCAAGCATCTGCAACCAACTTCTGAAGCGAGTGCATACACTGATGCGCAATCTTATTGAGCTTGCATTGCTCCGTCGAGCATTACCCCGCACCCTAACTAGATATTTGATGTATGAATAATTGCGCAAGAATATCAAAACGAAAATTTTTTTTTGAGACCACCGGATGGATCAATAATTATCAACAAAAATTGAAACAACAATCCCGCTTCGCTACTCACTCTTTTATGCCTATAAATAAACAAAGAATATGATTTTTCCCAA